GGTGTCATTTTAGTGTTATATTTAACATTGCCATAAAAGTGCGAGGTTTGGCTAGCCACAAAACCAGGTTCAACCCACCATTTTTTTCTTTAAATGTCCTGTACCAAGTCAGGAAAATGGCCATTGTTATATTATAGTTCGTTTCTGTGTGTGTTACATTTTAATGTTGTGTTTCTGTTGTGTCGTAGTTCTCCTCTTATATTTGATGTGTTTCCCTCAGTTTTAGTTTGTAACCCGGATTTGTTTTTTTCTCAATCGATTTATGAATTTCGAACAGTGGTATACTACTGTTTCCTTTATTTACAGTTGTATGTTATAACAAGAACCTTTCGGAGCACAGTCAGGAACTCCTTGAATATAGATATGTATGAAAATATGGTTGGCATGAAACTGTGTGTTTTATTTTTCCTTTTAAAGTTGATGAACCATGTTCTTAAACCTGTCTTAAGCCTCTCTACAGGCAGTGACAATTCTTGTCCTTTTCATATTTCCATTGCGATGTACTTGGAATCTGTTCGGTTGCAGTGTTTGCTGTAATTTAATGTATAAGAACCACATGCTTGAGATTAAATGCATATCAGAAGTTGTAGGAATTCTGACACAATTCTGTATTCACAATAAACTGCACACTTAAAATGTGTCACCACCAGTGTCTGAGCAGAAAGTTGATGGACCACTGTCAAAGAACGTCTCGTCCTTTTTCTAAAAAAAATTCATCGGAAGATACCAAGACTTTGTTGATCAATATTCCGTATCAACTCAATCTAATAGAAATACACATCCTGTATCCAAGCTTTGCTTACAGGGCCTTATAAGTAAAGCTTGAACACAGGATCTGTATTTCAATCAGATCGGTATCAACTTCACAAATAGTACATGATGGTCTTGAAGTAAAGATTCTAGGTAATAACGTTGTTTATCATCTTAATTACGTGTTATAGTGTTTTCATTTGTCTTTGTATATTTTTAACCTTCACTGTTTAGTCCTTTTTTGGTAATATTCTTTTGGCGTGGCTCGGTATTTATACATCCCGCCATTGTGTTATTGTGTTACGGTCATTCTTTGTATTCTTGTCTTTCATTTTTGTTTATCTACTTCGTCTATATATAGAGTGTCTTTATGCCATTTTTTTTTCTTTGTTGAAATAGTTATTTGTTTTTATAGTGATTAAGATTATAACACAATGTTGACTGCTGTACCCCAATTTTTGACAATTTTATTTATTATGTCTGTCTGTTTTGATCACACATTGTTGTCAATATAATGGTATATGCGACTGTCATACAGGTGAGAAGTTTAGCTAGCTTTAAAACCAGGTTTAATCCACCATTTTCTACATGAAGAAATGCCTGTACCAAGTCAGGAATATAACAGTTGTTTTCTATTCGTTTGATGTGTTTGAGCTTTTGATTTTGCCACTTGATAAAGGACTTTCCGTTTTGAATTTTCCTTTGAGTTCGGTATTTTTTCTATTTTACTTTTTTCTGAATGTTTTAGAAGTTCAATCCGCTCGGACTTCCAATATTCATGATATAAATTGGTAACATTTCCTACAAGCAGTTATCTCTGGATAGTTGTTGAATTATAAATAGAATCCTTGTTATAAATTCGTTTACAAAACCTTGTTCTTTCCTCCACTAGGACATGTAACGTGAAATGTAATATTTAACTTATCAATGCTGTTCAGTGTATGTTCACTGGTGTTAATATGTCTTTTGATTGAGTTCAGCCATTTCAATTGATATTTCATAGTGTGTCTTTCTATGTTGTGATGTTACACTATTGTTTCAGATAAGGGTGAAGTTTTGGTACCATTAAAACGTTTAAATCCGCTGCAATTGTTTGCACCTGTCCTAAGTCAGGAATCTGATGTTCAGTAGTTGTCGGTTGTTGGTGTGGTTTATAAGTTTTTCTCGTTTCTCGTTTTTTATATAGATTAGACCGTTGGTTTTCCCGTTTGAATGGTTTTACACTAGTAATTTTTGGAGCCCTTTATAGCTTGCTGTTCGGTGTGAGCCAAGGCTCCGTGTAGAAGACCGTACTTTGACCTATAATGTTTTTTTTATAAATTTTGACTTGGATGGAGAGTTGTCTCATTGGCACTCATACCACATCTTCTTATATCTATTATATAAAAATAAGAAGATATGGTATGATTGCCAATGAGACAGCTCTTCACTAGAGACCAAATGACATATAAGTTAACAACTATAGGTCACCGTACGGCATTCATCAAAGAGCAAAAACCATACCGCATTGCAAGCTTTAAAAGGTCCCGAAATGACAAATGTAAAACAATTCAAACGTGAAAACTGACTGATTGATTTATGTATGAAACAAAAAACGAAAAACAAATATCATATAAGCAACAAACGACAACCTGAATACAGGCTCCTGACTTGGGACAGGTAATTACCTAATGTGGCGGGATAAACATTTATGCAGGCGCCAAACCCCCCTCTGACCTGCATTCATGTATTTGTATGTGTATACACTCTTCAAGGGCGCACATATTACGGTATACAACATGCTCCTTGTAAATATGTCATGCTCTATATTTAGTATGCTTTTGTGGATATTATAAAAACTTGTACATGTATCTTGAAACAATACGATTCAATTATTCAAATCTTTTTTATCGTTTTTACAGAGCTAGCCTAACTGCTGCAGAATTGATCTTAGCTCAGGTGACCTATTTAAAAAAAAACTTGTACTCACCGTCCTTCGTCCTTCGTGAAAACATTTACATTTTCAACCATCTCATTTGCATGAGTACTGATTGAATTAAAAAAAAAGGTACCCTTTAATTCTGATTAGCCTATCTTTAAAAAATCGTCTTTTATGAAAAAGAAAAGACAATTCTGTTGAACCTGAAGGTTATTGATGATTGGAGTATCCTCTCCGAATAATCCCTATCCATTTTTGCTCGGTTTGCACACATGGCGACATTGGTGGCACTTAGTTTCTAATGAATGCAATACAAAATCCGATTTTTTTTCTCCTAGCTGCTGTGAATATTCTTGGCGGAGATTTTAACCAATTTAGTAGGAATAGTGTATAAAATGGTCTCTACAAATAGTTGATATTTGGTTCAGATAGATTTTCCCCTGAAACTACAATTTGTAGGATTTTATTACTTCTTTCACTTCATGATGAATGATTTTTTTTTGCAGGTGTATCGAGATCGTTGATGGTTGATGATTAAAAACTTAAAAAGAAAATTAAGATATCCGTGTATGAACGCCATCGAGTTACAGGATGTGCAGTCACGTTTCACATTTCAGTATTGGTTTTATGCTCTCTATTCCACCACCTTTGCGAATATTTGATGTTTTACTGAACTTGCTCATTTGTTTTGTTTATGTTTGTTGTTTTTCCAGTCTTGGAGTTAACTTGCGACCCAGCTGATGTTGTATGAATGTATAGCAGAAAATTATTTGCCACAGGACTAACTGCAGAGCTTTTTTATATGTTATACCAATATGTATGTGAGGAAAATAAACTGTTTCAACATATGATGAACGTTCTTACAATTATATTTTAAAGTAATCAATATAATAACAAGGTAAAATAAAAGTTTGCATGTGCTGTTCGAACGAACGAACCGAGGCTGTTGACACCATATCAATCTGGCCTGACATCACGTGGTAGAGCTAATATGCATGGGGCTCATAGCCTTGGTGCTTTCGTACATCGGTAGTATTATGATAACAAGATAAATACATGGTATTTTCTATATCGGCCCGGTTATCATTGCATCGCGTTGATAATTTTGACCCGAACTTATCAAGTGCTCCTTCGGTTTGCTGTTTTAACAGAACAGCTATAATTGTTTCTTCATGAACAACACACCAATTCAATCCGAAAAATGGATTATTAGATTTCATCATGTTAATTTTGTAAAAAAAATCATGCTCGACACAATGTGAAGCATTTTTGAACTCGATCTTTGCGCTCACTCGACCAAAAGCTTCAAATTGTGATTTTCAGAAAACCTGACAATTGATTTTATTTAGTTTTTTTGTTTTAAAAGGATACTACGTTTTGAGATCCACGCATCTATAGTTATTTTTTGCAAATGTTCAACGACTTTTTTTTACAGAAATCAATATGTTGGGGTCATCGAAGACGAGGTTCCTCGTCGGTTTGATATTATTTTTTTTTGTTATTGACTTTGCATGGAAATTGACATTTTCAATGAACCTTTTTTTCACATGACAGCAATTAACGTACTATGTGCCATGGTAAATTTTTTGGGGTTCACGTGATTTCTACTACATTCAGTACCGTGGGGCATCTGTGTTGTATATATAGATAGACTTGATGAATAAATATATGAGTCAGCAGCGGTCTAAAGATGGCTGACGAAAATGGAGATTCTTCTATAAACATATACTGTTAAGCCGAATAGCAGAAAAGAAATTAAAAAAAAGCAAAACAAAACGTGTAGATACAATATACATTATGATCTTGAAAAAAAAACCAGATCAGGACAATTATGATTAAACCAGTAATGATTGTTTTCTGCATTTGGTCAATAATGCCGACAGTCGTCCTCTCTAAACGGAAATCTACATGACGTAGCTAAGTTTAGTCTAAATCAATTAAAAAGGCCTAAGATGATCATACTTCTTTCATCGGCCTTCTTGTGAAGCTGCTGACACGTTTTTCGTCGTCATCTTCCTCACGTGATGTCAGGTGTGTATAGTCATAATGGCTTTAATTTTACAGGCGCCTAATTTTCTTTTTCGGTTTTTTATTTTTTTTTTTTAGGGGGGGGGGGGTTATCCTTTTTCTGTAAATATTTTTAGTATATCGGATTGATATCTCATCTAATATTCATAGAACGTTCATAGAGTGTTTTATCATTTGCTTATTTGTATCAGGCAAATTGACCAAGTGATTGAAAAGAAGCGATATTCTAGTAATATACATTGAATGTGTCTAATTACAAAGATTTAAAAATAGAACGGTTTCATGTGGAAAGTCCCTACGTTTTCTAAATAGAATAACCTTCCTGCTTACATACGCGATTTACCTTGTGGTTAAGACTGTTCTAGATGTTCATATAATGTGTAAGATGCCTACAGTTTATTAAAAGCCTACCTATTTCTATGAAGAGGCAGAACCAAGGTCCGCAGGTAGGGAACAGATTTTCGTTGCAAACATAACAAAAAATAACATGTCAATTTGCTACTTTTCGACATATTTAGGCTTTCCTTGTATAAAATTCGTCTTTGACCAAGCGACTTTATGCAACACGTGAGTTTATTGTAAGGTAACAATATATTGCATGCAGAACGTAACAAACAAAGTATACGAAAAAAAGTGAAACAAACTCCAATGAAAATTCAATACGGAAAGCTCAAACACATCAAACGAATGGAAAACAACGGGGTTTGTAGCTAGCTAAACCCCACAGTTGTATGACAGTCGCATAGAATTCCTTTATATTGACAATAATGTGTGAGCAAAACAAACAAGCTTTTATGTACAATAAAATGGTTAGGGGACAATCATATGATTTATTTAGTTTTTGGATTGGGGGGGGGGGGGGGGGAGATAAGGATATAGAAAAGGAATATCCTGCAACACAAAATCCAGGAATCGACGCAAAAAAAAAAAAATAACCATACGTAGCAGCATATTAAAATGAACACCGCGAAAAAATCATCCTGCCTCCCATCCCCAAGCCTGAATATCAAATGGTCGTCCCCTTATTGTATGACTTTTAATGAAATTTCACTCGCTCGCTTGTGTCATATATTCAAATCTACTCGGATCAAATGTCACCAATATCAATTCAAAAACCTTGTAATATAGTATACAAATACAATGCCAAAAGGTTGTTATGTGAACAGTTAGTATTCAAACACAGGGCCGTACGACTTCCATTTTACCAATACACATAAGAAAGTAAATGAAATAGAATTAATATATTCATAATGTGATGAGAAATAATATCTCGATTAAATTAGTCGCAACAATTTGTACATTTTTTTGCTTTGTCCTTTCATTTCGATTGTTTGTACGAGTCTATTACATACTAAGTAATTAGACAAATCTATGTATATGCTCTCCTTTCTAGCTCACTTGCCAATATGATTGAAAACTTTAATTAAAGGAACTTCTCATTGGAGCTTGTCCTTAAATGAAGACTTTTAAAAAAAAAAATTGAACGTATAAAATTATGTGTCAGGTATCATGAAAATTGTAATAGAAAGACAGAATCTGTTAAAACAAAAATAAATTAGCGATGCAAACCTGAGGGATTTAAAAATAAGGAGATGAGGTATGATTGCCAATGAGACAACTATCCACCAAAGTTCAAATAAAGTGGATGTACGAAATTATTGGCAACCGTACGGCCTTCAACAATGAGAAAACCCACATACTGAATAGTCAGCTATAAAGGCCCCGAAATGCCAATATGACTGATATCAGTTGACTCCTTATAGGAATTATTACCATTAAATAAATACTTTTGGCAAATTTCAACTATTTTTCCAATATAGTTTTCAAGCTGAAATAGATAGACGAAATTTATCATTAAGGAAAGATATTTGGTCACATGACCGTCAATTTACTGGCAAATGGAGTTATTGCCCTTTCATGATGTTTTTTTTATATTTCTTTGAATTGATTAACAGACCGCTTAGTGGAGTGTCATTTCATTTCGGGAGGATGATGGTTGGAAGATTTCTAAAATGTTTATATATATATATATATATATTGAAACAAAAAATAAAAAATAATAATTAACGTGATCAACGCAATACGAATTCCCTATAGGCTTGTATGCCTAAATTGCAAAATACTTTGTTTCGGGAAAAATTAAAGTCACTCCGACAAGATGAAAAAAGATATCAAAATACTATTTATAGCTTCCAACGGCAACCCTTTGATTACAGGCTCCTGGCTTGAGACGTGCGTGCACATTAAGATTGTGATGGGGTTTTATACGTTTGTGAGCGCTCAACCCTCCCCGAACCTGAGATAAACGTGGTTGTAACAACACAATACAAGAACAAACTATACTAATAAGTTGAAAGGGCTTTGTCTCATCAGATCGGTACTCAGCACAAAACAAAATAAAAAGACAAAAGACGCCAAGTAGAAATCTAAGAGTATTATCATTTACTGAGAGGTAGTTCTCAATGTCAATCGGTACACCTCCGATGAATTTAGTATAAAGACAGCATGGGCAGTCTGCGAAAAGTATCACCAGGAAGTAGGACCATAAACATTAATACTTTGATAGCAATACATGTGTAGTTGTGTAAAAAAATAGGTTAAAAATAAATGAAAAGTACCGATAAAGACATTGTTCAAGTATATAACTATAATGCTAAATTGATATGATTGATTTAATGTTGATGATGATGGATGGCTGCTTACCGCCCAGCGGCAATTAATATGCATATTCAGGACGAGAACATGTTAATGAAATATGAATATTAACCCTGCTTTGTACGAGACCTACACGCTGAGTCGGATTTTTAACGTACTAGTTTACAAGGTAACAGTCCGCAGGAAGACATGTCACCTTACTCGGACACATTATTCTGATTCCGAGCCGACCAGTCTTTGCTCTTACTCCTCAATGCCGCGTGCTTCCCGGAGAAGTAGCAAATACTTATTTTAAAATCTTTGATTTGACCAGGCCGGGGTTTGAACCCACGACCTCCCGCGCTCGAGGCGGTTATGATTAATATGACGATGCCATTATGAATGTACTCTGCCTTGGACAATACGCATGGTTGGATTTCTAACGTTCAGGCACTCTACCACTAGACTCCTTGGTACTGTCCCTTCATATGGGATTTGATTTTTATGAGATTCTTTATATTGCGACATAGCTATCAGTCTAAGACTTTGTTTTAAGGCCAATTATAATTAATCAAAGTGTCCTAAAAATGTATTTAGGCATTCTAGTAGATTTAATAGAGACATACATTTAAAAAAAACATGACTCAAAAATGCTCATGTTCGACTTGACTCTCCAGAAGCACTATATTTTATATTATCAAATTGCTGCTGTGTTATTAAGAATTGTACATATTGTACATATTGTAAAGGCACCTGTCTATTTTTAATACCATATGCTGCCTTTGGGCTTTCTGGGTTCTTCGGTTGTTGTCTTTCATTTATATATACACAATATCCCCTTTTATTCATTCAGAAATTAATCAGCATATTCTTAGGCTGAAGGTTCCGATAAATGTTTGGAAAAAGATTTACGTTTGTCTTTCAGAGTAAAATATTGTGACCTTATTTATTAGTTTTATGGAAATGTAAGGTATATAGTGGGGAAAATTCTGAGACAAGTGCCTGTGACTAAATCCGTTGCATGCGTGCTGATTGGTTCTTTGTGGGCCCGGAGAACATGCTTAATTTATTTGTCGTATTTTGCTTTCAGTAACTGCGAGTACTCTTTAATTCGGCATTTGGTGAATTTTGTCTCCCTGCAATATGTTGGGGTTTTTTATACTTTGTGCCGAACTGAGGAGTCATTTCAAGCTGATTTTTATCGTTTGTTCTTATATTTGATGTCACGGCTGGTTAGGGAGATATATTTAACCCCGTGACATTCTTAATGTGCCTGTCCAAAGTCAGGATACTGTAGTTCAATGGTTATCGTTGGTTGCCGTATGTCATGTCTATTTTTTTTTTTTTATCATAGTTCAGACCGTATGTTTTCTCGTTTAATTGCTTCACATTTTGTCATGTCATGTAGCTGACTATACGATACGGGTGTTCCTCATTATTGAACGTCGTACGGTGACCTATATAGTTAATTGCTAATATGCACGTCATTTGGACTCATTTGCAATCATACTACATCTCTTTATTTACATATCAGTATGCAACGTTTTAGTTGAAATACGAACAAACACTCGCATCATGGACTTTTTATCTTCACGTCATACGTCGCGCAGTGAAACGAAGACGGAAGATAAACAATGTTGATCATCAGACATTTCATCTGGTACCCATGCATCCCTTTCTTCCCCTCTAAAAACGACTATCGTCAGGAGTGGGACGTTAGGATTTATAAACAGGAGAGACTGTGGTTTTTTATATTTAATGGTAAAAAAAACTCAAATAACATAATTGAGATGAGATAAAGATTGTGTTTGAAACGGAATATCCTTTTATCTCTCTTTCTTTTTACGGAAAATATGATCATATAATATTGCCATAAATGTAGTACATATGGTAAAATAATAGTCAATGTACTTTTCACAGTCATTGATTAATTTTTTTTAATTTGAAGATATTTTATTAATTGAAGAGAGACAATAAAATATGTAATTTAAAAATTAACATCTATAAGTCTTCCTTTTTGGTTAATGATTAACATGATTGTAATTGAATTTGTTAAAGATTAAAGCATCAGATCAATGTACTTTTTACAATCATTATCAATTATTGGCAGTTTGTAAATCACTGCAGGCTCTCTGTCTGCAGCAAACATGATATCTCGGATTTCACATCTTGATAGATGTTTCAGCTTAGCGGGAGTTTTGTAGCAATCGTCTGGTAAAAATTCTGTCACCGCTTCTCTAATAAAATGTACGTGTTCCTTATCTTTGTCTTTTATAGTATCGGCAGTTGTTTCTTCTCCGATACGGACCCTGATACTACGAACAGCTCGCAAACAATATTCCAAACATCGTCTAACATGCTCCAAAGGTGTATCGCCTATCATAAGGCCGGTTGTTTGTTCTACGACTTTCTGAGAACCAAGCGTTAAAAGGATATTATCGATCGGTTTACCTATAGGACTACAGCCGTAGCGTAACAGAGTCAACACAACGTTGGGTTTCAGACTTTCACATGCTAACCCAAGAGGGGTTGACGGAACATACGAAGAAATTGCTGCTTTTGTAGACATGGTTAGAGTCGGGTGTCCGATTGGAATTTCTAAGTAATGTACTTTTGTTGTCAATATAATGGTATATGCGACTGTCATACAGGTGAGAAGTTTAGCTAGCTTTAAAACCAGGTTTAATCCACCATTTTCTACATGAAGAAATGCCTGTACCAAGTCAGGAATATAACAGTTGTTTTCTATTCGTTTGATGTGTTTGAGCTTTTGATTTTGCCACTTGATAAAGGACTTTCCGTTTTGAATTTT